TAGGAATCCTGAGTTACGGAGACAAGGCTGCCCATATCCTCAATTTCGCTATTGAGACCCCCACGAAGCCACAATGAAGGCCTGAAGACAAAAGCCAACCAACTAAAGCCTCTCACCAGGGCCAAGATCTGTTTGAGCATCACCAGGGTATTGCGGTTCAGGATGCCGTATTCCAAGACTTCGGGCAAGACATCGTTGGCTTCGGCCAAGTCGTTGGGTTCCGACACCGTTTCTGGTGAAAGAGACTTTATTAATAAAGGGACTTTATTAAGAAGCGAAACAGAACTAAGGGACGAATATTTTATTTGTCAAGCAGAGGTCCCGGATAGGCAAATGAAATAAGACTAAACGAAAAACAAAGGGGCTTCTGGAATATGAAATATCCTGACGTTCTGTTTTGCTCCAAGTTTTTTCCCTTTCTTAAAATACCTGCAGTTTCTCTCAGGAAAAAGACCGTGTCACTCTCCACAAAGTCTTCCGGGACATCATTCACTGCCATGTGGTAATAGAGATTATAAACCTCTTGCTTCACAATTTTCTGAAATGGAGAGAGACCAAATGGGTGCTCTTAGAAAGAAAATAAAACACATAGTTGGCCTTCCAAATTTGGATGTGCTCAACTGATGCACAATTCGAAATGCAAGCAACAGTTGTGTGGGGAGCTGAAGGAACTGCTCTCGGCACAAAATTTGTGAACTGCCTTTGCGTCGCTTTTCTCCTGCTTTCTGCCCATCTGCCCATCTTCATTCAGAATTTGGTCTGCAAGAGATCAGACATGGCCAAAAAAAAAAGGCCAGTATTTTGAAAAATAATAATTCTGATTAAAAAGAGAGAAAAGCTGTGGTTTAGGTAGGAAGAAGAGTTCTCGAATCGGTGCTGATCAACTGCAGAGGGAACCCTACAAAGAAACAACGAGGCCGACACCGAAACAGAGCGAAAGCAACTTACTTTGTACGTCTGGGCCTTTCGCTGCGAGATGCCCAGTTCGCGTTCTATTTCCGCCATGCCTGACCTGACCGAGGCTGTGGAGAGGGTCCCGTTCATGGGTTTTTCTCCTGCCTCGTTCAAGCTCCTCCAGCTTTTCTCTAAACAAGAGACACCCAAAAAGAAAGAAATCAACCCCTCTCCCTCTGACCTCAACGTGATCCCTATGTTGCAATGAATTTAGAGGGATCCAAGCAGTCGAAAGGGATCCCACCTGAGGATCTCCCTGCCTGCATTTTGTTTTCATGTTTACAAAGATATTAAATTTTGCATGATAAAATACAAGTGAAAATAAAGATAGTAGGGAAATGGAAAGGGGGGGGGGAGGAAAAGACCCTGATATATTTTTTTTCTTCCCTGTGGCTGGCAGCCATTACTCACTTGCTTCGCCAATGGAGCTGGAGGAAGAGCCCCCTATTCTCTGCGAATTCGTTTCATCCTCATCCGTCCCTTCTTCATACGGCACGTCTGTTTCCAGAAAAAAAAACCAGAACAAAATATGAAGACTTTTCAACCAGAAATAGAACTGAACTGAACTGGGGTGCAGAGGGTGGAGGAAGGAAGGCAGAGTGGCCCTAAGAGAGCATCCAAACCTTATCTGGATTTATTAGACTGGGCCACGTGCAGAATTTTATTTTCAAAGGGAAATAAATTCCAGACAGACTTTTTGATATGGCTCTCCAGACCAAATGGCTAGTCCTCATGTGATCAGCTTTGGTCATAAAAGAAACATGAAGGAAAAAAGGGAAGACTGGGGCTGTGTGTTGGGCAGGGAGATACCATTTTGATGGCCCCAAGTATATTTTATTGTCCCATTCAATAAATTATACTATTATTTATCATCCTCGGTCTCCTACTGGGCACTGTTGAATTTCCTTTTCTAGAATTTACCAAAGAAATTGTGATTTTCCTGGATGAATGGACCAACATCAGCTGGCAATGAGGAAACAATGTTTGGTCCTGAGGGTGACCATAATGGGGAAAAAGAGGAGAAAGCACACCAGCTATAAATAATATATAATTTCTCACAAAATGATAGATAAACAGACATACTACATATTTGGGGGGGGGAGAGAGAGAGATCACTTTTTTTCTAGCCAATGGGAGGTCATCTGAGGAAATGGGGGCCATGTGGGTGGGTGAATAGCCAATGAAACAGCAGAGCCCCAGAGCTGGGCGACCAATCAATTGTTTTGGAGGGAAAAAAACGGCTATAAAAAGGGCAGCACAAGGGAGAGCATCTGTCAGAGAGCTGAAGAGGACAGAAGAGGTGGCAGTGAGGGAGGAAAAGCATCCCCAAGGGGCAAAAGAGCTGGAGCCACTTGTTGCCTCAGACCTGGCTGGAGCCCTGAAGAATCTGGCCTGTCTGGAAGAGGCCAAGGCAGCTGCCCTGAGTGGTGAAGGGAGGTCACTCCCCACTGAGCATCTGGGCCAGCTGAAGCCCCTCCAGGCTGAAGTCCTGAAGAGGCCGGAAGACCCTGAGTGGCCAAAGAGCTGGAGGACCAAAGAGGCCAGAGCAGCAGCCCTGAAGGGGCGGAAGTCACTCCCCACTGAGCTGATTGACAGACTGAAGGACAGGGGGGCTCTGAGTGGCCAAAGAGCTGGAGGCCCATAGAGGCCAGAAGGGCCAAACAAGCAAACCTGAAGGGCTGGAAGAGGCCAGAGCAGCAGCCCAGAGGGTGGGCGAAGGGGCAGAAGTCACTCCCTGCTGAGTCCCTGAGCACCTGGGGCAGCCGAAGTCCCTCCAGGCTGCTCCTAGAGAGGCCAGAAGGTCCCCATAGAGCTGAAGCCCCTCCAGAGGCGTCAGGGCTGGAGGCTGAAGAGGCCAGAGCAGAAGCCTGGACGGGGGAGAGAAGAGGCGCTGGAGGCCCAGAAAGGCCAGACCAGCAGACCAGCGGGGTCAAAAGCTTTATCCTTGCGAACTGCCTGGAGTCACTGACTTGAGCTGGGTGGTCATTTAAATTAAATAAATAAAAACAAGTCACTCTCAAACTGCCCCCTGCAGAGCCAACAGTGTGGCTGAAGAGAATGGGGCAAAGGAGTTGCAGCCCCTCCTGGATAATTTCAGACAAAAGGAGGGGCTGCCCAGTCTTCCTCCTAGGACAGGGGTAGGCAACCTCGGCTCTTTTATGACTCGTGGACTTCAACTCCCAGAATTCCTGAGTCAGCACAGCCGACTCAGGAATTCTGGGAGTTGAAGTCCACGAGTCATAAAAGAGCCGAGGTTGCCTACCCCTGTCCTAGGAGGATGAGGAAGGCCAGCCTGCTTGGCCAAGGAACCTCTGGGGAGGAGGGGGTACTGTGAAGACCCCACCCCCTTGTAAATACTGCTGCCTTCCAGCTCCAGCAAACAGCAGGTCGTGTGAATCCTCTCGACTTGGGGCTGAGTAGGAATGGGGAGTGGTTTTTTTTGGGGGGGGGGGAAGGGGAGCGCCTTTCCCCTGCAATACGGCTACTGCAGCAGCGTAGAGGGAGCGAGGGCGGGGAGGCGCTCTGCACGTGCTCAGGAGCCCGTCGCATGCGGGGCGCACCGATCTCGACGTCGATCTCGTCCAGGCGCAACTCCTGGCGGAAGAAGAGGCCGGCGGGCTGGCTGTCCTCGGCGCTGGCGCTCATGTTGAGGAAGTGCAGCAGCCGCTCCGTCTCCTCGCCGTCGTTGCGGTTCAGCAGCTCCTCGAAGGCGGCCGGGTTGGCTTGGCCCAGCCCGCGCTGCAGCCGCTCGCCCAGCCATTGCACCCGCACGTCGTCCATCGCCGCCGGCAGCCCCGCTCGCCTGCCTGCCTGCCTGCCCGCCCAACCGACGCCGCCCGGTCGCCGGGGCAACGGCGCGCGCGGCCACGCCCCCTCTCCCGCGCAGGCTCCGCCCGCTCCCTCACGAGCGCGAACTACAGTTCCCGTCGTGCATCGCTTCTCGGACCTCTTTTTCTCCCCCCCCCCAAAAGCCGCTGAAAAAACCGAAATTCAGGCCCTGGGGGCGCTGTGTGAAAACTCCTGTGGAGCCAAACAAAAGGCACTCTGCACATGCCCGAGGCAGGCGCAGGTCTCATCCTGAAATCACTGTCAATCCCAGTAGTTTACCCCAAACTCCAATACCCATCATCCCCTGGATGCACAGCATCAGGGCTCCCCTCTGCAAAGGTAGATCTGGCTCCCCTAAGCAAACGCCCCCCCCCCGCCTTGCAAACCCCAATTCAACCGGAAAAACGCCTTCTCCAAATGCGCCAAACAGCTTTTATTGGAAAGTGAGAAATGAGATGAGATTCCATTGGCACTCATGAAAGTCTTTACGGTAAAATACCTCCCCTTTAATGCATTTAAAACAACAACAGCAAAGCAATCCTTTAAAAGGTATCTTCTTCATAGGGAAGAACAAGTGTATTTCAACAGAAAATTGGCTTCGGGGTCAAGATTAAACGGGAATCTGATTTTTGTGGAAAAGGAGTGTGCGGTATCACAACTAAGACAGCCTGCATTAATGCAGGCCATGGAGAGGCAAAGGTTGTAGACCAGGGGAGTCTAACCTTGGCAACTTTAAGACTTCAATTCCCAGAATCCTTCAGCCAGCAAGGGTGGACTTCAATTCCCAGAAGCATGGCTGGCTGGGGAATTCTGGGAATTGAAATCCACAAGTCTTAAGTTGCCAAAGCTGGACACCCATGCTGTAGGCTGCCAAAAACTGCCAGACACCAAAAAACATCTTAATTTTCCTGGGAAGGTTTTTTTATAATCCTAGGGTTTCACCTACAGAAGCTCTATTAGATATATCGGAGTGTTCAGAATAATTTCAGACAGTGATTCCAGGCTTGGGAGAGGAAGCTCCCACATTGCCTATAATGCATCTTTGAAAAAAGAGAGTAGAAGAGAAAAAAGCAGAACCAATGCTTCTATGTCCCTCTGTGAGTCTCAAATAGCTTTTCAATTTCTATGGAAAAAGTCATACCCTTTGTGCAAAGAGGAAATCCTAAACCTGCTTTTAAAGCCTGTGTTTTGGATCAAGCAAGAGAAAAATCATAGTGTTTTCCAAAAAATACAGAAGAATAGAGTTTTATTCCCAGTGGCTGTTATCAAGTTCCAGAAATATTCGTGACAAGGATCAGAGGAATTAATCAGAGGAGTGATCCCAAATGCCTTGATGGCTGATTAATGCTCCCTTAAAAAAAAACTTTCAAAGGGTCTTTCTCCAAAACAACTATGCAAAAAACTACCCTTGAAAGGTTTTGCTTAGAAAACGGCTACAGCATGTTCAGAAGCAGCAACTGAATATTTCAGGTCAGTTTCAAAATTAACCTAAAGGTGCTTACGGAAGGAAGACAAGGCCTGCTTGCAAAGGGTCCCACGTTTTCAAAGTCCGAGTCAGAGGCGATTAAGGGTCGTTATAAAATTATTTGGCTGCATTTTAAGGCAAAAATCAGTGAGGGCCTTTGCTACAGGGAGTCGAACAAGGATGACGTCAGCGTACATGATTATTTACAGCCAAAAACAGCCAGACTATGAGATGTATCTATCAAAATGTAAAGAAATGTCTTGAAAGGAAAAAGGGGTGAACTTGTATCCATCGCCCGTGTAGAATTTGTTCTGAAATTCCACCCTGCAATAAGAAAAAAGAAAAAATAAATAAAATGAACATGCTAAACCCTGACTCCTGAACTATTTGAGCACCAAAGGTTACTTTCAAACCCAACATTTTCAGTCTCCTGAAAAGACAGTTTCTATTTTCCCCCCCCAATAAAGCTTCCATTTCCTAAACATAACATTCAACACCCAATTCTCCCAGTGCTGTTTAATGCCTATGTATGTTAACTCATGTAGTGAGTTTATTGTTTATCTTTCTTATCTTTTCTCCTCCTCTCCTTCTCATTATTATTATCATCATCATCATCTCTGTTGCTCTGCATGTACAGAGAGCTCCAGTAGCGGAGACAAATTCCTTGTGTGTCTAATCACACTAGGCCGAATAAAGCGTCCGATTCAATTCCACATAAAAGTTTCAAAAACGCCGCACTAGAAAGTTGTCCAAGAAGGTGAAAAGGAACCACGTACCAATGGAGCCGTACGGCATGCAGGAAAGCGGAGAGGCCCTCCATGACCAGGAGAATGAATACTGTGAGGATCATGAATAAGGCCGAAAGGGGGACCAAGAGCAAGATCCCGTAGGCTGCATCCATGTGAAGACCCAGTTTCATGACCATTGCCCAAAGCACTTCGGATAACTCTAAAAGAGACAGGCAGAGACATGAGCAGGTAACTCCAAGCCCCACCTGCTTTACTGGACGTGTGAGACACAATACAGGCAGCCCCCAGCTTACAACAGTTCATTTAGTGACCGAAGTTACAACGGCACTGGAAGGATTGTCTTAGGACCATTTTTCACAGATGACTGTTGTACCATGATTGACTGATCGTTCAAATCCCACAAGATACTTACGGGCGTGGGCTAAACTGAGTGCCCAGAGCCTCAGGTAGGAAGCGGTGTTGGAGATGCATCCTAGACAATATTCAATGCTGTGGATGGCCTGCTCCATGAACACCGCTGAAAGGCTAAACTAAAAGAGACAGCGTGTAAGTGGGATTGCGGCCAGGGTGCGGATTATAATCCACAATCCCAACATCCTGCTTGTGATTTGGGGGAGATTAATCACTTCATAAGCAAGGAACTACAGAAGCTGAATATATGACATTTCTGTTTCATTCCCTAATTTATTCACAAGTTGTCCTGCACTTATAACAACTCATTTAGGGATGGTTCAATTACAATGGCAGGGAAAAATGTGACTTGTGACATTTTTTCCCCACCTTTGCATCATCCCCCATGATCACCTGATCAGATGCTTGGCAACTGGTTCATATTTATGACGGTTGCTGTGTCCCAAGGTCACGTGAACCCCTTTTGTGACCTGACAAGCAAAGTCAAGAGGGAAGCCAGCTGCACTTGAACAGCCGGGATACTAACTTATCAACTGCAGTGATTCACTTAACTGTGGGAAGATGGGTTGCCAAATGGGGCAAAACTCACTTAACAAAGGTCTCACTTAACAACAGAAAGATTGGGCTCAATCGTGCTCGTTAAGTCAAGGACTATCTGTATTTTTAATTGCATTTGCCTAGGCCAGGGGTAGGCAACCTTGGCTCTTTTATGACTGGTGGACTTCAACTCCCAGAATTCCCGAGCCAGCCATGCTGAGGGGAAAGGGAGAGGTTTCCAAGCTGAGCCATGTTGGTTCAGGAATTCTGGGAGTTGAAGTCCACGAGTCGTAAAAGAGCCAAGGTGGCCTACCCCTGGCGTCGGCGTACACAACAGCCCTGAGCTGGCGTACGTCATAAAACAAATCGAAAATAACTTTTCAATGAAAGGATTAAAAAAAAAGAAGAGCTGAAAAGAGTCCCAGGCCCAACCTCTTCCTTCTCTTCGGTCTTATGCCTGTTGTTCAAAGGGCTGGTTCCCTCTTCCATCTCACAAGTTGCCAAGAGAGCAATCTCTTCTTCGCTTTCCTTCCGTACCAAGCGATAACCTTTCTGGAGAAGGAAAAAAGAGTTGTGCGGTTTTAGGGATGTCTCTGAAGGGGATTCACGGACCGGTTTCTCAAATAATCTTTCAGCAAGCAACTACTAAACACCTCCCAACCCTGTCCTGAAACAAGGCTGAGCAGCTCAACATCTTAAGGGCCACATCGAGACACAAGATTAAGGCACCACAAAACACACAAAGTGCTTCAGGGAATGGCAGCCAGGTGTTAAGCCTAGGCAAAGCCTTGTGAACTATCTTTCCCTTCAAACACAGCATTCTTTTCCCCCTTCATCGATTAGACTGGATGCTCTCTACGCTGATTGAGAGAGCCCTGGCCTGCGGCAGGATGCAGAATTTTTTTGTCAAGGAAAAATACACAATTTACCCCAGAGTTCTTCCCAATACTCACTCTGTAGGACCCAAAGCTTTGTCTGCCATTGTTCAACCAGTACAAATAAAGCGGCTTTCCAAAAAACAGAACGAGAACAGAAAGTACAGCCAGGACTATCAGGAATTTCTGAAGGATCATCTGTTTTAAAAGAGGCAAAATTTACACAGCCGTAATTTCGAGGTGGTTAAAAATTTTGGTTAGCAAAAGCCTTGTAAAAGTTCTCTGCTGAATTAAGGATTTTATGTTATTGGGCTAAATGACAATCTGGCTAGTTGTTGTTTTTTTTTAAAAAAAACTTGTTTTATATGTTTTGTTTGTTTTGACAAGGTTACACTGTTTTCAGTAGTTTGCAAAAGAATGCGATCCTTTCTGCTTGTCTCAAAAAAATGCTATAACTCATTAAAAGCAATCCACTAAGCCCTCCTATATCATACATTTTCTGCTGAAGAGTGTTAGGTTTTTAAAAAGCTATGGCCAACCTTAAGGAGCCTGAAAATCTACATTTTTAAACCAAGGACCCCATTGTGCCTAAACTTATAGCAATTCCCTAGATTTAGGTGGCTTCTAAAACAACACTTCAATCATTTCTTAAGGACGTACAAAACTCAGATTCAAGTCTCCAACAATTAATAGTTACTGGGCTCATCTTGCAAACTGTTTTAATTTACTCCAATTTAAGGCCGACTTATTTCAACAGAAGATAGCATTTAAAAATAGAGAGAATTCAGATTTCATTTCTGGACCTTTCAGGTCTAAGGATGACCCACCTGCCCGGAGAAAAAGATTTGCTTCTTGTTATCGTGGAACAGAAACATGCCGATAAACTGAAGCAGGATACTGGGAGCAGAACTGGAATTTTCAGGGCCGTAAGCCAGCCATTTAAAGACGATCATGAACACCAGGTATCCAAAAATGGACAGAATGAACAGAAGTTGAGGAATGATCACCAAGTAAATATTGTACGTCTTCCTGAAATGCCTGGAAGGAGAAGAAAGGGTGGGTTTATTTTTCATTTCAATTAAAAAAAACCTCCCTTTTTACAACCCTATAATCCCTTGATGGGATGGAGCTGAGCATTTACTGGCTGGACGCCCTTCCTGACGCCTATTTGGAGTTCGCAACAGGCCACCACGCTACTCTACTTTTTTTTTTTTTTAATTTCAATAATCAGCCCAACTCCGTTTTGCAGAGAGTGTTCACAGAAAAGTCAATTGTCTGCTTAGTTCAACAGGGCTGTTGTCCACTCTCACAAGTGTCGTTCTACGGCTGCCAGCGGTCCCAGTGTGATCAGAGGCTGGGCTAATGGGAGGTGATGGAAAAGAGTAATGCAACGGGTTTGAAGGGCGCCAAAAGCCTTAAAAGGGGAAGCGCTTCATCCGGAAAAAGAGAAAAAGACCTTCACTGTATGAAACTTATTTACGACGACGCTTATTTGGCGCCCCTCTCGTGTCAAAGGCACGGCAAAGACCCCCCCCCCGGCTTCCCATCCTGTCCCTACTCACACGTAGTTAAAGCCCCCCAGGGCAATCCCGAAGACCATGTGCACCATCCCAATAATGATCGACATTTTCATTTTGAAGGAATTGAGGAAGGGGAGGCGATTGCTCGCCAGGCTCCACATCTAGAAGGGAAGAGAAAGACAGCCTTTAAGACAAGATTCAGCCCAGAATACAGGCAGTCCTCGACTTACGACGGTTCGCTTAGTGACCATTCAAAGTTACGACGGCACTGAATAAAGTGACCGAGGACCGTTTTTCACACGTACGATCGTGGTCACGTGATTTACATTTGGATGCTTGACCGCTGTCTCACATTTATGACGGTTGCATAGCCTGGGGTCACATCATCCCCTTTTGTGACCTTCTGACAAGCAAGGCCAAAGCCAGATTCACTTAACGACAGCCAACACTTGACCATTTTCCTGTTATGGTGGGTAAATCTAAGGACTCCTTGTATGTTGAAAGCTATTTTGCGTGAAACAACCCCAAGGGAAAATTCAGGGCAGTCCGACGGACAGTTTTGCCTCGCTGCTGAAAAAAAGAGCAGCCGTGGGCTGAGGGCTGTAATTCTGCCAAGTCTCCTGGACAGACGGCAGCGGCTCAAGGGAAGTCACTCACCGGATCTATGCCGAAAGGGTAAGGACCGGTGAAGACGCCAGTCGCATTTGGATTCAGAGTCACAGACGGATTTGTCGAGTCTGCCTTGCTAGAACAATTTAAAAACAAAAAGGAAAGAAAACAGAATTAGAGGTTGAGAAGAAGAGAATTCTATTCTATTCTATTAGCATTCTATTCTATTCTATTCTATTCTATTCTATTCTATTCTATTCTATTCTATTCTATTCCTATCCTATCCCTATTCTAAAGAAGAGGACAGAGATTGCCCAGAAGTGAAACTGACACAGGCTGCACAGCCACAACTTACCTCCAGTCCATCCCAGGCATTTGTGAAACATGCCATCCCGAGCTGAAGATGACCAAAGATTTAGAGAAACAGTCATTGTAGATCAGGCCGGTATAGATGGAGAACAATCCCATCAGCAGGATGATGTATCGTCCTTGAAAAACCATCTTCATGATCTGTGGACAGAAGGAGAGAGGCCTCACCGTCACCTTAGAAGGGAATCTCTGTAGCTCAGGGCTGAACGGTGGGGTCCCTGGGGCTCTCTGAGCTGGCTTGTTTTCTTGCAGACATTTCATGACCCAACTAGGTAACATCATCAGTGCCAGAAGGGAGTGGAGGGTTTGCTCTCTGTTTATATGCAAGTGGCTTGCCCTGTCAGTATTGGTGGGGGAGCTGTTTTCTTCTTGGTAGTCCCTTGATTAGGCTGTTTACTGTTTGGCTGTATTTCTTAGTTGGTAGTTCCTTGATTAGGGACTATTGTTTACAATCAGCATTATCTATGGGTCGTGAAACCTCTGCAACAAAACCACCAAGGCCCCACATTCCTTCTTTACAGATGCAACAGTGGAAAAACAGGATTTTTTTTTTTCCAAGCAGTGAAGAGCACCAGTCACACAGGAGTCTGGGCTTCCCATACCTCGTCTTGGGATTTCATCAGTTTGGGGTGTTTTTCAAACAAAACCATGAAGAGCGCAAAGAGGAACATCAGGAAGCCGTGTCCGCAGTCTCCGAACATCACGGCGAACAAGAAGGGGAAGGTGACGATGGTGAACAGAGCTGTGAAAGTCACATTTATTTATTTATTCCAGTTATACGCTGCCTGTCTCACTGTCGGGTGATTCTTTACAGCAGGGGTCTCCAACCGTGGCCACTTTTGAGACCTGTGAACTTCAACTCCCAGAATTCCCCAGCCAGCTATGAATTCTGGGACTTCAAGTCCACAAGTCTTAAATTGCCACGGTTGGACGCGCCCTCTGCTTTACAAGAACACCGCGGCTCTTTCAGCGACACAAAACCCACCTGAGTTCACAAGGCCACAGGAAAGTGAAGGCAGGTCAGCATCAACGAGGGGAAAGAGCCCGGTTTAGAATTTACACCCCCCCGTTTTCACTATTTTTCAGACTCACCAGGATTGACTTCCCTGTAGCTGCCAATCCCGTACACATCGACGATGTCCTGGAATCCCGCGGTGAATTTGTTGGTCCGGATCAAAGTCGGAGGCGTTTCTGTTGTCGGAATGGTGTTCATGAAGGAAGGGACGGAAGCGCCGCTCTCTCTCTGGTTGCAGAAGTAAACAAACCCTCCTTATTATATGCCCAGCAGCCCCCGTCCCATTCGTGCTCTTATCTGTGCATGAATCATGTACAAATATGCTCGGAAAGAAGGGATCAGAACTGCTGAGTCTCCTTATTACAGACTGATCAAAGCAACGTTCAGCCTTGACTTACGGATCCTTCATCCAGGGCGCGACGCATGTTGGGCAGATCCGCCAGGGAGCACCAGACCTCAGCAATGAGGCATTTGTTGGTGACGTCAAAGCTGCAGAGATTCAGCACGTGATAAATGGCTTTCATCTTTTTCACCTGAACATCCCAGGTGTAGATGGACTCAGAAGCTTTGCACAAGACTTGTCGTAAATAATCTTCGGTTTTGTGCAACACCTTTGGGGGTTTTGTTAAAAAAAACAAACAAAAAACCTTTATTACAAAGGCAACTGTTATCCAAAGGGGGGTATCGGCAGGACAAAGTAACCTTAAAGTCGTTTCTCTTTTATTAGTTCTATTTCTGGGGGAATTGGCTTAGCTTCACGGTGCCCAGCTGGCAGCAGATAAAACAATCCCAAAGAAAAACATTTTCCTGTTACAAGAAACAAGTTTCTTAAGGCCACAAAGGCAAAAAAAAAAGAGTCCTGAATACGATGCTATGTCTGAATATCTCCAGGACAATAAACAAAACCCTAAAAGAGAATAAATCCACTTGGAGAAGGCAAATATGATCTCACGGGCTGTGTGGACGAAAGCTCTCATTTCTTAACGCACTCCAAACAAACACACTGCACGTCCACATTGATTCCGTGAAACAACTGGCCTCTTCCACTGGAAACACACAGCCAGAGTGTGAACGTAACTGTCTACTTACAATGTGAAGGTCCTGGATGCGAACCTGGAGGCCTTCCATCACCGCCCGCCGTTCCTCCGGAGTGTTGGGATACGGGTAGATGTGACAGTGGTAGCTGTGACACAAAGAAGTCACTGAAGCAGCCAGCCAAGCTATTCTTACAAACGTGTGACCTCACATCCTTAAACCACAGCTATTTTTCCTACACATGTAGTCCTCGGCTGACAACGGTTCGTTTAGTGACCGTTCAAACTCCGAGGAGTTTTGAAAATGCAGTTTTCCCTAACCATTTTTACATTTTTGGAGCATCGTCTTACAAATATATGAAACAAATGAAAAAAGCATGACATAAACACTTGAGTTTGTCCTTACCAGTCGCATATTTTCTTAATCTTTTGGCCAATTTGTTCACCCCAATAGGATATCAAGAACACAAACCACTTGGTCAGCTCTCCCTGGAAAACAAACAGGAATGGCTCACCTCAGCTTTGATTGACAGGGGAACTACGGGGCTCAGGTTGCCCTTTCTTAGCCCAGGGATGTTGTTTTGTGCAATGTTTCTACTGAATTTCGCAAGATAAAGCAGGAATGGACTTCAGTGCCTCAAACAGGCATGCATCGGTTCATTTCTCTGGTAAAGCTACTCAGATTTAATCTTTCCAACATACGGGTGCTAACTCGACTGATGATATTCATTTAACGACGGTTCAGAGTTAACAATGGCACTGAAGTGCAAACGTAAACGAATCCATTACAAATTATGATGCCCTGAATCCATGCTGTTTTGAAACTATGTTTTCGGTATTCCAACATAAAAGTTTAACTTTTCATAAGTAAACAGTTCATAATTAGCGGATCTTAATGGTAGTAGCCACAACTGTTTTACACCAATTCATAAGAGAGTTGGAAGGGATCTGGGATCTTGATTCTATCCCTCTGTTAAATGCAGCCAACCCTATGTATGCTGATTATTCAGGAGGAACTGATCCATCAGCCTTCGGAATAATTTACTCTGATTTCTCCAGCTGTCTTACTTACGGAATCAGGATCTTCCAAGCATTCTTCCACTTCAGAGTAAGAAACAATTGTATTTCCTCTGCACACCCGCCACAGCATTTTTTCAAATGCTTCAATTTTGGCTCGGTGAACTAAGCCGGAGATAAATCTACATTAAAAGGAAAAAAAGTGCCCTAAAAATAATCTCACCAGGACAGGGAACCATGATTCGCATTACCTGCAGAGTCACAATTATGCTTCATTACTACATCACCGGATGCTTCAAAACAATCCAAATTGATATGCAGTAAATTAATTCTCCCCAGTATTTGCTAAGACTACCTGTATAAAACAAGGCTAAAGATGCTTTGCGTGGCTATTCACCATCCAGTTTGGCTACTTACCCAAGTTTGGCCTCAAGTCTGTGCATGCAATTGTACTCAACCAAAGGATCATGATCGAAAGACAGGAATTCTTCGTAACTGCTCTGTACGCAGGACTCGAGCTAAAATAAAAGACAGCGAAAATCTTACATCAAACGGAGAGTGGAATAGCCAAAAAAAAAAAAAAAAGACTGGAAACGAGGTATTTGTTTTTATTTATGATTGTCTGCTGTCCGGAGTCACTTGTTTAAGATGGGTGACCTTACACACATCTAAAGTCAATAAAATAAATAAATACCCCAGTAGCTCTTTGGGCGAAGGACTGCGTGACCTTCAGCAGGTGGGTGTATTCTGTCAACTCCAAAAGGTTTTTTCTCAACTTCTCCTTGTTTTTGGTCACCTCTCTCAACTCCACCTCCAGCTTCTGTAGTTGTTCCTACAACAGAGAAAAACAGCACAGTTTCGGTGTGGTTGATTTCTAACAGGAGTGTGGTTCTTCCAAGCAGAAACCAAGACAATCGCTACAGTTGAACAGCAGACAGTGGGAAATTTGGAGCTGCAAGTGTCTTAGGGTTGGCCTAAAAGCAGTGATTCTCAACCCTGAAAACTTGTAAGAGGTCTGGACTTCAACCCCCAGAATTACCCAGTCAGTTACCAAGGTTGCCAAACACAGGCCTAAAGAATTGAAAAACCAGATTTTTCTGTCATCCTGGAACATCACGCGATCCCCATTTCTACAAGTTACCTGGATTTCCAACATCTGTTTAAGTGGAGGAGCAGAAGGAGTGATATTTCCTTCCGGAAGGGGGATGTCTGCTTTCTTTATTTCCTGCACTAGGTATCCTGCAAAAATGAAAAAGAATTTCATCGAGGTAAAGCAACTGGCTTTAGAAGGTTGTGCTTTGGCACATTCCTCTGGGAAGTTTGTGCATCGCGAAGGATATTTACGCACATGCGAGGGCACTCTAAAATCAAGCCTGATCAGTTTTCTCTATTGTATCGTGAGAATTGAAGAAGCCCAGAATTTGCATACTAATTCTCTGAATTTTAAATCAAACCCCAAAATGGAGAAACAACCAGCGCCTGGTGCCAAAATGATCACCAAATCTCCCGACTGTGGTTAAAACCACAGTTTTTTAATCCTCTGAAATGTGGGAGAACATACAATGCAAGAACGAAGCAATAAATCAAGTGGATTGTAATATTCTTTCAAGCTCAGTTTGAAATTGACAAGAGCTACATTCCCTTTTCTGTTTGAAAGAACAACTCTGTGATACATTTCAGGATGGGTAAAACTTTACTTAAGAGGATCAAGGTTGCCAGTTGTTCAGCATTCTCCAAACTTACCCAATATTCTTTCCATTTCTTCACATTTCTTCACTTCACCCACATATTTCCGCTGGAACAAACTTGTATTTGAGTTGAGCTGGAAAGGCAAATCTTTTTTTTTAGCTGTTTAACTGACAACAGAAACTTCTATTGTCTAAGAGTTTACAAGTTCAATTCTATGGCATTAAGCCATAGTTTATTTTAACCATTACGATCCTTGAGTCTTCCGCAGCTGGTGCACACAGAATATGAAGGAAAGACCTTTGGCCTTGAAAAGTTACACATCATCATTAAACACCATTCATAACTTCTGAGACAAACTTTATGAAGCAAACCATAGAGCAAGGCACTTTATTAAACACTTTAATACCACTTGTTTTATTACATGTACCCTTTGAGAGCTGCGTGCAACGAAATCTCATTTTAATGTATGCTGATCAGTGCACACGTAAAGTGACAATAAAGTTATTATTCTATTCTATTTTCCTGTTCCTTATTCTATTCTATTCTATTCTATATTCTATTCTATTTCCTGTTTTATATTCTATTATATTCTATATTCTATTTTCTATTCCATTCCTTATTCTATTCTCTCTCCATGGCAGAAGCCCTCTGGTTTGGGGCTGCCTTGGCCTCCCTAGGTAAGAAGCCACGAAGACCAGCTGGGTGACTTTGGGCCAGTCCTTCTCTCTCAGCCCGGCCCACCTCACAGGGTTGTTGTTGTGAGGAAAAGAGGGAGGAGCACGAGATATGCTTCCCCATACAATAAAAGGGTGGGACGGAACAAATAAAAACCCGAGGCCGGGGCGTCTCGGCCTTCTCCCCCCGCGGCCACTCACGTCTCTGAAGTGGGCCAGGCCGCGCTCGCCCAGGGCGCTGAGGCACTCGTAGGCCGAGCCGGCCTGCAGGAAGAGCTGCGCCAGGCACATGGCCTCGCTGCGGAAGAGGGAGCCCATCCGGGCGCTCACCGCGGCCCTCGACGCCGCCCGGCCGCCATGGAGAGGCGGAGGCGGGGCGGAAACCGGCGCTTCCCCTCAGCCGCTGGCCACGCCCCTTCGGAGGACGGAGGGCGGGAGCGGCTTCCGGCTTTCCGCCCGCAGCTGCGCCATTGGGCGTAGGAGAGACCGCTCCGTCTCTCTCTCGGCTTCTCGGTGGTAATAATGCCAACTCTGGAGACGAGTTTACGCTGAAACGGAAGTGCTGGTACAGAGCGGCAATTAACAGCCCAGATAAGGGAAGTTACTAAGGAGGTGCAGCGCCCCCTGGATTCGGCGGCATGGCGTCCGCCTCGTTTATTACACTTTTACCGTTGTTATTATTATTTTAATGCAAGGGCGTCCCACTTTCTTATAGGCTTCAACTCCCAGAATTCTGCCTGGGGAATTCTGGGAGTTGAAGTCCACAAGTCTTTTAAGTTGCCAAGATTGGACACCCAATACAGCCGTAGGATCCAAATCACATCCCTTGTTGATTGGATTCTCCTTTATTGCTCTTTTTTTCCTGTAAAATCACAACACGGTTTCAGTTTTGTCCAGGTGGGTTTTTATTTTTATTTTTTTTCCTCTCTCTTCCCCCACCCTCTATTTTTTTGGAAAATATATCTGGGGAAAATGCCCATTTTTTTCTCTCTTTCCATAAAAGCTGTGCATGATAATAAAAAAAAATGTAGAAAAGCACGATCAAAATTCTGTGGGGGAAGTGGAGGTTTTCAGGGCTTGTTCCACAGGCGGAGGATCCCACTCCAAGGACTGCTCAGCACCACTGCAAGGAGGACGAAGAAAGCCAGCACCAGGCCTTTGGCAAGGGTGTGGGAATAGGGCTCTCCTGAAAAGAGGTTGGAGATAAAGGTTTAGAAACGGGATGATGCCTTATATCTTGGAAGAAATTGCTCCAGAATTGGCATTTCAGTGGAAGATAATCCAGACAAGCTTCTGCTAGAATGAGGGTATCTAAGCCATCCTCTGCCAGAGACGAGTCTCTCCCCAGCATAAAAGATTTACAAAACTGGAATCGCCTAATAATATGCTACGTGTAGTGCTCAGGCCATGTCTATAAATGAATTCTGACATAAAAGGAAATTCTTCCAATAAATACATCTCCCTACTGAGACACCCACCCACCCACCCAAGGACTTGGGGGTCAGCTAGAAATTAAACACGAGAAAGGCCAATTGAGAGTCCTTTTTTTTTTTTTACCAGTATAGTAGCGTGTCATGGGATAAAAAAGCTCAGGCCAACAGACATCGTTTCTCCTGCAGTCGTACTCCGTGTAGTTAATTTGAAATCTGGAAAGAAAAAAAATAGGTTGTTAAAGTGAGTTGTAGCTGATTTTATAACCTGTTTTGCCACAGTTATGGGAATCATTGCTGTGGTTAGGTGGATCTGGCTCCCCCCCCCTTGAGTGTTTGTCAGAGACTGCTGGGAAGATCGCAAATGGCGGTTGCATGACTCAGTTTCCCTAGCACAAGGGTAGGCAACCTTGGCTCTTTTATGACTGGCTCAGGAATTCTGGGAGTTGAAGTCCACAAGAGCCAAGGTTGCCTACCCCTGCCCTAGCAGTTTCTCTGGAGCAGATTTACAAGTCTGCATCCTAGTTTTACCTTGTCTTTGGCACTGGGGGCTGAGCAGGTACTTTAATAAACTGCACTGCAGCAGAGACGGGAAAGGAACTCACGTTCTCCGGACAAGCCAGGCCACAGGGAACTTGCCAAGTTATGGTGGAAAAACTGAAAGAGAGAAGCCTTTCCTGTACATGGGAACTGCAGCTACAATGTAGAAGGCCGTGCAATGTCACCTATCTGATTGTCGTCAACATTCTAATGTTAAGAAGAGCATTTTTTTTTTTAGCCTAGTAGCATTACAAAAGAGGACAACTCTAATTCCTAACGGACAGGGGGGAAATGTCAGTGCTCATTAGTGCAGCACTGCTTCTAGGAGGCATCCCGAATAACAGCAAAAATAAAGAACAATCTGTGTGATATGGGCCCGTGTCAGAATGCAGTGAGATTTTTTTATTTTCTCCTCCTTGGGATGGAACACACCTTCTGATTGCAACAGGTCAAGCAGTTTGGGGATCGTTCTGTTTCAATCCAAACATCACAAAACCGTGCCTCATTAATTTGGGCCACGTCATGCGGAGGGGAATTGACTGGAGAAAGCAATTATGTTGGGAAGAGTTAGCGGTAAAAGGAAACCAGGCCGTCAAAGGATACGGTGTGGTGGGACACCATCAAAGCTGACACCAGCCAGAGCATAGAACAACTCAAATTCGTGCAAGATCAGAAGACGTGGAGAGGCCCGGCCCATAGAATCGCAAAGAGTTGGACCCAACTGAATGGATCCTATCATCACCATCATGTTTCAATCAGAAAGAAATTAGAAGTCTATGTGGTAAGAGAAATGTTTTCACCAAAGGACCCCGAAGAGATCCGAGTTCAGCAAATGCAAGTAAGATTGTACACACCCGATTTGCACACCAAGTATCTCTTCTTGAGGGATTCCTTCTATTGCGCCTACATCAGCGGTGATGATCTGAATGTTCAAGTGGGCAGGAACATCAGGACAGATCCCTCTTAAGCTCCCGTCGCTTGCGTTTGAAATGGAAGAGGCATTTACACCTGTGAACAGCAAAAGCCAATGGGCTGAGAAGGTTAACCAACCAGCTGCTCAGCAACTTATCCTTTTCTTTCAACGTTAAAAGAGAAAATATAAACAAACAAAGAGTTTTGTGAAGACAGGATGGCTTCATTCGCTTCACTTTCCCAAAAATAGTTCGACTGATTTACAATATCCACATCCAACTTTAAATTAATTTAGAAGTCCAATTGTTTTTTAATAGCTGCGGTTCTCCTGTTAGCGAGATTATGGCTTTCATAATAAAAAAAATGTAAGAGGATCGTTAATGCTTTTAAACACAAACTAAACACCGGCAATTAACTGGTTGCTACTAAACTGTGACTACTCACGGAGGACTTCCACCCAGTCATCTGAGATCTCTTTATGGGCGTTGCCTCTTTTTCCAACGTGGCTCGCTTGCACCAAGGAATTAAGCCTTGCAGCAACATCCTCTCTGCGAAGAAACAGGCATGCAATATAAATGGGCCGGTAGACAATTCGCGGTTTCATATTTCAAAGGAAAAATGCCAGGTTTTATAAATCAGTGTGGATTTCTTAAATTTCCTTTATTTTGGTGTAAAATGAGATTTTCTTCCTTGTTTTAAAATGAAGAATAAGAAACTAATTTAATCTCACCTCAACTGCGTGCAGTTGTCTGCAAGACTGACCTCCATCAGGCATCCAGAAATGGAATTGAATCCAAACAAAAGGGGAGTCAGGTTTGCTGATGAACACAAGTTCTCGCCAACTAAATAATGGAGACAATCTGGTTCAGAAATTGTTTTCTCATTCATGTAGTACTATTCTAGTGTATTTAAACAGAAAGCCCTCAGGAGTGGAATTTCCCTCTTCTTAAGACATCAAACAAGTCAAACTGAAGTGACTAAGCTGCCCCAAGAGTACAGCTTTACTTGCAAATTACGACTCTTTTAGGAAAGGTTTTTAAAATTAGACTCGATATTGCTTTGCTTACAAAATAATATTCGTAATTTTTGTTCTTGTTCCTAAGGATAGCAACAGAATAAATGCCCAAGTTTAATTTAGCAGAATATAACTCCAATCCCTTTTACCCCCTCCTCCACAGAAATATGAGCGAAGAGTCCCCAAATGAACGTCACACTGATAAATGAATATTGTTTTGTTCCTCTTGAAATTGCGTAATATTTGTGATCAAAAAGAATTACCAGGCTTCCAAAGTTTTAGAGTGGTAACAGGAGCCAACGATGTCAGGTTTGTGGCTCTAACCGGCTTGCCAAGCTGATAACCTGGGTGGACAAAAGAAGATTTTGCCGGTGGCTTCAAATATATCCAGTTAAGCAATCTTGCAGAAGGAGAGAGATCGGTCTGGCTAGAGCTAACAGTCTCTCAAATGCCAAATTTGTTTCTCACTTTGCTTGAGCTTTTCCCAACTCAACACACACACACCCTGATCAACAAGACGAAGGTATATCTACTCCAAGTTCTACAACAGGTCAAGCTAGTAAGCGATCCACACCCTTTTCCTCCAAGAAACTCTTGGCCAGTTGTCAACGGAGGAGGTGGGCTTCTCTGGGTGCCACCCAAACCATCAAGGGCCAGCTGCAGAGCCCAGCCCCCAAATGCCACCCCTTACCCAACAAATGACACAAACAAAAAGAAACTGAAGCATCAGCACCGCCGACCATCAATACGCCATTAAGGGCCTTCTGCACTGAAAAGCCACTTCATCCACCTGGGTTTCCTGAGAATTCTTCCAGGCTTGTAGCGTTGGCGCTCACAAAGGTGACAGTGAACTTCTGTGTTATCGTCTCTGGCAAAGATAAATATAAAATGCACCAAGTTAAAAAAAAAAAGAGACACCACTAGGTTGGCGCTTTTATCCAACCAAATTTGAGAAGCCTTCGCCGGGTTACCGTATCACAGGCAGATATGGCTTGTTTTAACTATGGTTTCTTCAACAAGCATCCCTGGGTTCGTGCCTCAGAAGAAGCCCAAATCAAAATTAAGCCAATCGTAAAATCTTTAGGGCAGAGTGCATTAGGCATCCAAGCAATATTACGTTATCTTTTCAATGCACTTTCCATTAAATGCTCTTTTCAAAGATGGATACTTTCAAGTTGAATAGATTTGGGGTGCGATTTTTATGAACCAAAGGCAAGGTTGCTTCAGAGCCAGTGTAAAAAACAACAGCTCTGACAACTGATTCCAAATCACACGGGTAATCTTTCACTGGCTGAAAAAAAAAATCGTAAAAAAGAATAACTGGACTAAGAGAAATATAAAAAAATACCTTCTAGACACATTCCTCCATAAAGGACTTTGATCTTCAGTTCTTTTATTCTCTTGCCTTCCCACACGATGATGTAATCTTCAGCAAAAGTCACATTTCTGCATTCTGAACACAGGAAAGCTCTCGTACAGGTTATAGGTCATACGTGGGCAGTTTTTTTATTAAACCTTTTCAAAAGATGGGTTATAACTATGCCTAAAAAAACTCGCTCAATGCTTATTGACCTTTATTGGCACAAGGGAGCAAGGCAGAACTTCTTTCCTCGTAGATCACCTCTGGTTTGATGTTATCTGGAAAGGGAAAAGGAAAACGAGGGGATGAAAGGCAAACTCAAACTACGACGGAAGATCTAATATTGGCAGTCCTCGACTTACGACCACAATGGAGCCCAAAATTTCTGTTGTTAAGTGAGCCTTGCCCTGTTTTTATGGCCTTTTCCTTGCCACAGTTATTAAGCAAATCACCACAATTGATAAGTTAGCAACCTGGTTGTTAAGCGAATCTGGGCTTCCTCATTGACTTTGTTTGTGAGAAGGTCACAAAAGAGGATCACGTGACCCTGGGACACTTCCACCGTCATACATATGAGCCAACTGCCAAACGTCTGACTTTTGATCACAGGATCATGGGAAGCTGCAAAGATCGTAACTAGGAAAAACATGAAAAGACTCCAGGTCTCTCCCTGGCAATCAAAACCGCTGTACCTCCAACTCCGCTGTTGACAGCGCTGCTGAACACGGCGCTCCCGGCTTCCTGGCAAGTGGCCACACATTCGGCTTCAACATCCCGAAGGAAGGAAACAGGAGCATTTCTCGCACACTGCCCAGCTATGAATAACTGGATGACACAAGAATAGGATAATCCGGTTTGTTTTCACATCATTCCCCCTTTCCCCAATCCAGAAAAAAAAACTCCTCTTTAATGAACAAAAAGAGAAAAAGAAAAGAAAAACCAGAGAGTTGCCATTTACCTGCGGAACTGTAAAATAGTCATTATGAACAGTCAGGATGGGATCCCCTTGCCTGTAACCGTTGGACAGTTTTCCTGGGATAGCTTGCACCAGAAGCTTAAAGGAAGACGCTTGGGATGAAGAACTGCAAATGAATTTTATAAATATGTAATCTATTTGTACAATGAATAGAGAAGGTGTGTGGGGACCGTGATTCCCGGCCTTGCCCCCCCCCAAACAGACTGACACAGTGCAAACTGAAGTGTCAGCGTTTTGCTGGCATTTTTGGGAGGCAACGTCTAAGTACCACAGTTGTGGTATTAAAACCAGGTGCTACACATTCATTTCGACCTCATCAACATCACTGCCTTGGAGAAAAGATAGAAACAAGAGCAACACTTTGTCTCACACTTACAGAGACTGGAATTGCGATCCAATGCATATAAAGTTGTGTATCACTGGTACAACTAGCTGCAGTGTGAATTATTATTACAATAATTATTCAGGCCAAATGCCTGTCCTACAGCAGGGATGGGGAACTATGGCCCTTTTATGACTTGTGGACTTCAACTCCCAGCATTCCTAGCCAGCCTCCCAAGTCCCCACCTCTGTTCTATAGCTATGTTTTTCGACCTTGACTGCTTGAAGATAGGTGGACTACAGCTCCCAGAATTCCCTAGCCAGCATGGAGAATTCTGGGACTTGAAGTCCACCCCTCTTCAAGCAGCTGAGATTGAGAACGACTGAGTAACAGACTGTATGCTCAGCTAATGCTTGTTCCACAGCTCCACGCTCCCTAAGCCTCTGAGGAGTTTTCATACTTACGTAGAGCCATCATAGAAGTACCCAAGGAAAGGGGAATTATTAACGGAAGACTGCACACACAGGAAGGGGAACCAGTCAGGGGCCAAATTCCTGGATTTGACAGAGCAGAGCTGGTCGAAAGGTGGATTGACGTCCCCACCGAACACCCCTTCAAAACACGAGCTCTCAAAAAGCTGCTTCATCTCTGGGGTACAATCCTTGAGAGAGAAGGTAGACACACAGGTCTGGGATCAGCCTGATGCCATTCTAATAAGATTGAGTAGCTTCACAGACAGATCTTGGGGGGAAAATGACTGTGGGCCGTCTACTCAACATGCAGAAGATCTTCCATTCACTCTCGGCCTCTGAGAACTGAGAAGAGGGTCTGAGAAATATTTTTGCCAGTCTCAGCAGCCCACACTAGGCCAGACAAAAACTTGAGCTAGGGATAAGGACATTTTCTTAAGGTTATTGCTTTATAAAAGTCTAGGGTAATGTGGGAGGAGGCCTCTAAATAGGATACAGGATAAGAGAGTTGGAAGGGACCCAACCCCTTGTCCAATGTCTTCTTGAAAACCTCCAGGGTTGGAGATGAAGACAAATTGTTCCACTGATTTATTGTTATCAGGAAATGTCTCATTTCTAGGCTGGATCTCTCCTTGATTAGTTTCCATCCATTACTCCTAATCCAGAAAGCTCATGCCAGCCTTTGCCGTCAATTAGCTTTTTCCGTGTAATTCATTATGAAATCATTTGGTTCAAAAAGAACATCTCAAAAACTTAACTGCGGTTAAAGACATGGGCCAGAGTTTCAGAAATGTCAGAAGCTTTCCAGGGTGATGCTTAGAATGAAGAATTACAGAAATTAAAAGCAGAATTAGTACCTGATCACAACAGCATTGAATATCACACACTCCTGCTGTGAGGTTGCATGGACAGGAGCCCAAGGGATGAAAGACTTGATTGGGGATCACCGTTGCATTCTCTAAAGAAGAAAAAGGTGAGAATTGATAGGTTAATTTGAAGAGGTGCCTTTTTCTTTCAATATCCTTTTCTCCTGAACAATTAAAGTCAAACCACATTTTGCTGGTTGGGTGCATACATTATGTTGAAAACATCTAAAGGTGGCCATGAATCAAATACCTATTTTTCCAGTTAGGTTTCCTGAAGTTGTATTAGGGTATATTTCCGCTTGGATTAATAGCCGGGCCATCACCTTTGCCCCTTGACATGCTGAGACCTGCAAACTTTGAAGCAAGCACAGGGCCTCCACACAGCAATCAGTGAGGTTTGAAATACACAGTTGCAAGTGCCTGGTCAAGGACACCGTCACCCTGGAAACGTTCTGAAATACAAAATATGATAGCTAGCAATTAACCAAGAAAGCTTTATGAATTACAACATAACTATAAATATTAAACCCATGTCAGAGATAAAACAGCAATTATTTTATTTGGATCTTTATTTACTGCAATGGTTAAAAAAAATGCCCAAATCAGGAATCTAGGTCAAGAATTTTATGGAAAGAGGTTCACAGGAGATACTTAAAAAGTTGATCTAAGATCTTTTATTGGCAAGGATAAGAGGAGAATCACTTTGTCTACTCACCCCGTGATGTGTGACTTGCAAGCTCCAGTCATCTGTTCTGTTTCTGCCACTACAATCTGAAAGGGGCAACAATCCTAGAAGAGATCAAAGAACATTATCATATGCAATGAGCAAGGACATACATCCAATTTCGCAGGTACTAAGATTGTTGGCCGAGCAGATCCAAAAATAGCCAGGGAAATAATTGAAGCCTGGGAAACGGGCCCCTTGTCAATCAACAGGAGTGCTGATTTACCATCAGCTGATTAGGTACTCTGGATCTCGGCAGCCACAAGGAAACAACAGCCAACAACTTAATAGCCAGCCATCAACACTCTACTCAACAATTAAAAAGCCACACACAACAAGGTACCACATAAATACTACACATGGAATAGCCCAAAGCACACATTCTAGTGAGAGACAAGTTCCTTGAGGATGGGCTACAGCATGAATCTAAAAGCACAGAAGAATAAATCTCTGGTCATGGTGACTGACCCAGATTGGATCCTGCGTTTATCACATGTATTATCATCTCTCAAGCATCATTCTTACCAGGAAGAGTGAAACTAATTCATTTTGAGAAAGAGAAAATAATTTCCTCCCTGCTCTTTGGCATTCCAGAACTTTCTGGGTTCATTCATCTCAAAAATGGTTTTGAAGGATGCTTACCAGTTTCATTGTCTGCCACAGCGAGAGAGAAAGTATCAGCCTGGCTGTTGGTCAAAGAAGCTGTCACCATAGTCCCAGACATGTGGATAAACGAAGGTTGGAAATCTAAACAGAGAAATCAGGATCATGTTGAGGTCATTCATTAAACATAATCATTGGCCAAAGATGTTCTCTCTAAATAAAGAGGCCTCTGTGAATTTCTTCATAGTTTCCTTTCACCATTGATAGAAGAGAAGGAAATGTAGGACAGCGTAAGAGAATTGAGGAGATTATGTTTTTGTGTCATCATTCGAAGCTGCAAAGGAGGGGGATAAAAGAGGCAGGAAGTTGCTAACCAAAGCATTCTTGAACACACACAACTGGTTGCAATTCTTTGGAGGCTTTGGGTGTTGTTTATGCCTTAAAAAAAGTCAGAAAAACCCAATCCAGGAGAATTCAAAAACAAAGCACATACCAAAGCTCTAAAAGCCACGTTCCCTAAGAGACATAGCCATGATTGCCCAAGCTAAACTTTGTTAGTGTGTGGGTGGGGACAAATCCCCCCTTTGGGGGGGGGCTCAAAATGTTTATTATACCAACTTGGCCCACTGGTTAGCTCAGAAAATAATGTATTGTGCAAATCCAGAACATGGGTTCTCTTGGATTCTGTGAACATGACTAAGAGGTTAGGGATGGATGGGTGGATGGATAGGGTTGGAAAAAAGAAGAAAGGAAAATGGGAGGAAGGAAGGAAGGAAGGAAAGGAGGGAGGGGAATGGGAGAGGAAGGAAGGGAGGAAGAAAAGAAAAAATGAATGGGAAGGAAGCAAAGGAGGGAGGGAGAGAGAGAGGAAGGAAGGAAGGAAAATATTTCACAGCTGTGAGGCAAGCAGAACTAAATCAGAAAACATGAGACTGGCATAAAGCGGGACCTGTTGGATTTCTGCCTGCCCATTGCTGATTAAGCCCCCCCCCCCTTAATCTTTCCCCCACACACCCTGCTCTCCATCCTGGGCCCCGGCCCGAAACAGCCACAGCAGCCCCCAAAGGATCCCCCGGAGGCTCATGGCGAGGCTAAGACGGGCCATCCCGAGCCCCAGGATCGCCTGTCGCCGCCGCCGCCATCTTGCCCGGCGCCTTCCCTGGTTGCTATGGAGATGGCCGGGAGGAACCAGGCCGTCTCTGAGGGAGCGCGAAAGGCTCGCGTGGCTGCCAAAGGAGGGTAAAAAAGCCTGAAGTATCCCGCTACGTTGCGAAGTTTAGGAGATTAAAAAAAAGCGCGCCTGTGGTGAAAGTAGTAGAAAAGAACACAAAAGAGGCCCTTTCTTCTTACTATTGCCCCCCGCACTGTGGAAATGGTATGTTCCTCAGTCAGGCTGCTCTACAGCTCCCATCATCCCTTTCGCGGACGCTCGCGTGTAGAAGCTAATTCAGCCCCGAGAATTCTGGGAGTTGAAGTCCACATGCCTTCGACTGGCTAAGGTGGAGAAACGCTGCTCCAGATAGACCGGATGACAGTTCCCATCAGCCACAGCAGTGAAAATTAATTGTTTAACTCCAACCCAATCTGTGTTTCCTCCTTCCCAATCACTCTTGCTGCTTAGCAATAACAGCCCAAAAACAGCAGCCAAGCAAACAGATTTGCTTATAAGTAGCTCCCAGAGATAATATAGAATGCGAAATAAGGCTAGAATAAATTACATTTGCATTCCATTCTGGATTTCTGATCGCATCACAGAAATTGCTGTGTCTGCTGTCACAGACCAAAGCTCAGTTGGAATGCCTCGCAAGGGGTAAACGAACCCTTAATTCATTTGTGTTGGTCTACATCTCAGTGTAACCATGGAACAAAAGCACAGCCACATACAGAAACTCATCCTTGGCATAGCCAATTCAAGACAGTATTGAAAAAAATATTTCCTGTGCCATGATAATAATAATGATGCTAAAAACAATTCATGTACAGCACAGCTGCAGCTATAACTGAATACCTGGGATGCAAAATGAAGAAGAAGGCAAAAGGTGCACCACCAAAATGGAAGATCAGGCTGGAAAATAAGATTAGCAAGCTGACATCAGAGGCAAGTAAGCTTCAACAGATGAAAAAAAGGGGGGGAGGAGGAGAAACAGAAGAACCAGAAGATTAAAGAAGACCTCATTAAAAAAAAAATCACTTAGAAACAAAAAAGATTGACGAAGCACTGAAAATAATAAAGCAGCAAATAACAGCTAAAGCCAAGATTAGCAGATATGAAGCTCAAATTGCATATTTTAGGCAGAATCTCCAATGCTAGACGTCTCCAGGCATTAGGGAGACAAGGTAATGATGAAGCTGGACATCTTTGGAGCTTTGTTGTAAAAATATTAAGGGTCACTAGTCTCACGCCCTTAGTCAATGTTTAGCTGATGCCCAGCGTGTGGGAATTAATCCAGCGGCCGTCAAGCGATAAACCAGGATATCCTTTTCCCTGGGTCTCTGACTGAAAACAAGCTCTTTTCCCATCTGCCAGTGGATCACTCCAAGCCCAGCCATTTCAAGAGAAGCATCTATTTTCTGCCCCCTTCCAAGATTTTCGCACCATAGGGCTTCGGTGGCTCAATTAACACTGGGCAAAAATGGCCATCGGCGGGGATCCCAAAATCTCTTTGATGTTTTTATATAAGCATGATTCTTTCTATTCCTTTTGCCTTGCAGATCTCTTGATGGCCCCTCAGCAAGTGAAGAACAGGATTATCAAAGAACAGAAGGAATTAGCCAAGGTAAGGTGACCCGTTTCACTGCCGGGAATTTCAAAGATTCAGTCTGCCACTTATGACCAGCAAAAATGAGAAATATCAACTTTATTATTAACCTGTGTGCCACACACTGGTTAGCTGGTGGCAACAGATTTGAGGCTGGCAACATTTTGTTAATGTTTTTCAACAACCAGAGATACACCAGCAACAGTTGACAAAAGATGGTGACTCAGAGATGGATGGTTGTCTATTTACATCTTGTGCTAAATGTCCCACTTCTTTTATCTACAGCAATGTTTCTCAACTTTGGAAACTTTTAAGAAGTGTGGACGTCAACTCCCAGAATTCTCCAGCCAGCCACCTCTGATTCTTGAGGTCTAGACTATAATAGTCAACCTTTCTGTTTACCTGAAGCAGGAGATCCTTGCTTGATGGTACAGCGTCTTGCAATTCTTCCCCTCGTCTTTCCTTCTTCCACAGAGGGTAAAGAATCTGGAACAGCAGAAACGTAGCCGGCTGCGAGAACTTGAGGAGGAGAAAAGACAGTTTTGCCTGCTCATGGTCAAGAAATTGGCACCCAGGGTGACATTCAAGAGAGGATCGTCCACGGTCACGGAAAGAGATTCCAGGAGATTGCGGTCCAGTGTCCAGCCTTCTCCTCTGCGATCTAGTGAGAGCAGCTGGAGGAATCTAGACCCCAGGCTGCGTGCTAGATCGGACACCACCTTCTTCACCACTGCAGGCCAAAGGTTTCCTACATCTTGTTCTCCTAAAATAGCCCAAGTAAGTTTTGACTTTTAAATGATTACCGCTTAAAAGAAGTAAGGCTGGGCTCACGCATTGCACTCAGCCATTACCTTTCCTGTTGGTTTGGCATTGAATTGTGTTTGCCGCCAACTGTGGTTTGTAGTCCATGCTTTACCACTCAGTGAGCTGCATAAGCAGGTCGTATGATATTAACGGAAACCATGGAACGGGAGTAAGAGAGGCTGGGTTGATGTAATACACAAGATCCGAACTCAACAAGCTACATAGCTAGTCCGTGATTTACAACTATTCCTTTAGCGGCTGCTCAGTCACAACAGCACTGAAAAAATTGACGCACAGCCATTCCTTGCTCTTACAACCGTTGCAGCCTTCACATGATCAAAATTTTAGGCTCTTAGCAACTGACATTTAAGACAGCTGCCGTGTCCTGGAGTCACATGATCACAAATTTGGTTTTAAAAAAAAAGGTTTTGGAGTGAGGCGCACATTTGAGCATGGCCCATTCTATGTAATGTTGCATTCTAGAAAACAGTGAACTCAGGAATCAGGTTGTGTAAATTGTGCTCTTCTTAACCAACAGAGCGCCAGATGTTCTTCACCAGATGTTCCACCAACCTACAGATACAAATCTCCGCAAGGCGAGAATTTGCAGTCAAGAACCAAGACGTTTCCTGCCTGTCCTGGGCCACACAGAGCTGCCATGCAGAAACGAATTAACATCTGAAATTGAAAACTAAACCCTATGTCAATCCACCACAATTTTAACTTAAATAAAAGGGGCTTTGTTTGGAATTAAGGTGTCAAGCCTTAAACCACTTTGATTCCTCTACCTATGATACCGGAAATGAGTTTTACATACCAACTTTATTTCCTTCTTCTCTGATTTCAGGCGTTAGTTTAAACCAGTGGCAGAAAGACTTCAATTTTGTAACACTTTAGTACAGAAATAGCGTCCTGGACAATGTATGCACTGGCTTGAAACTTTTAGCCCTTTGTTGATCATTCCAAAATACATTTTGGTTTCTGGCGCTCCGTTTTTTTTAGTTTTATAGTTACAGTCTGGGAGACAGACTTCCCACACAGAGGGCAAGGGAAATCCACAATGCAGCTACATCGAGACTTTCAATTTCTTTTTCTTAGGCTTCATGACAGCCGGCAGCGAAATCTTGAAAGCGGTTCTGGAATAAAATTGAACAGTAATTCAAAAATGGCTCTGCATAAGGACTTGATGCCTTCTGTCTGCTCCAACAAGCAATTTAAAAAAATCAGCATTTAGGAATTGCTAGGGTCACACTATAACAACTGACCCAATCAGCACATATTTGTTTATTTCTACAACAAAACGTGAAACACACCCAACAAATTTCTGCAAAAAAATATTGGGCAGCTGGTGGGCATTGCAAGAAGGAAGGAAAGGAAGGGCAAGGTAGACATAAGGGATGATAAAAATCAAGAGACAAGAAACAATAGGAAAAATAGTGAATCGGGACAAAGATTTCTCCTAACACAGTTTATACAATTTTGTATCCATTCAGACGAACTTTGCTTTCATTTTGAAATAGCGATTTCAGAATCAGCAGTGTTTGATCAATTGCAAAAGGATTTCTCAAGGATACTTACTCACAAGTGGTACAGATTGGACTGAAGCTGCAGAATACTGTAAAAAAGGTTTTAAAAAAATAAGAATAACACTTTCAGAACAGCTTTTAAGATCAGACAGATCAAGCCCAAGCCCAAAGAAAGTCTAAACGCTTACTCGACAAACACACTGAGCAGACATAGCCAATTTCAATAAGATTCCTGTGGCAGAAGCAGGCAGCACGGTAATCCACGTGAACAGGCGGTGGGAGGATCAGCTGGGATCTCTGATCTTGATCAGGCAGATAAACCCACTGCAATTTTTAAAAGACAAAAAATTATTAAGACAAAAAATTTATAGGAGAAGAACTATATTATAGACTATATGGTAGTCAAAAATCCAGAGCGATAGCTCCTTTTCTGACTGACAAATTTTATTAAAAGGTATCAGCTTAAACCCTGACGTTAAAGGTTTGGTAGAATTTACCCAGATTTCTAAACCAAACAGGCTGAAGCAAAGTGGCTAGAAAAACAGAACTCACCAGCAAATACTGCAGAAGCGAAGGCTTGTATGGAATTTTCAAGTAGATCCCGCCAGTGATATCACATGCCTAGAAAGTAGGACAGCAGCAAACAACACCCACACCAAAGACCAAAAGTATATCTGGGGCTCACTGGTGGAGCTTCTGCTTCGCTTGCACTATTCCAGGGTGAAGGAGTAAACCCTGGTGACATTGAGGGGGAAGTAAAACTCTTACAGGAAGGACCATAAAGGAAAAAAGTTCCGTTCATCCACAAGATCTAATAAACGAGGAAGAACAAAAACGAACATCGTACCTGTTGCAAAAGTCCTGAATCCGAGTCCAACACACAGGCATCAATTAAAATACTCTAAGGAGAAAAAAAGGAGACAGAATTAGGGTCCTCTAAAGAGAAAGCACTATAGTATTAATGCGAGTAAGGTGCTGATGGAGCTACAGATCTTGTAGTAAATTCTGATCATTACCCGTTTCTGGGCTGCAAAGATAACATTCATGAAGTTCATATATTGTAATGTGCTGTCTTCAGCAGCTTTGATGACCTGGAAAAGAAATGGGAACTTCTTGATTTAGATGTCATACTTCGCAGAAGCTATTTGACTTCAAGATATGGAAGGAAACCTTACCAAAATCCTGGACTTTATTTCCTGGCTGGCTACATATTGAACAAGAGGTGGAAAAAAACAGAAAAGAAACATTTAGTGGAGCTTGGGTGAATGCTTTACAATAATAAGACTGACGCATAGATAACACCAGACTACGTACTTTTAATCTCTCTTGTTACTCTGTGAATATCTGAAGCACAAGACATTCAGGAATCATTGGAATTGTATTTCAGAACATAAAAAAATATATAGTTACAACAAGAGGATTTGAACAGGTATACTTCATTAATGGACTGCTTGCCTTCATACAGGAATTAAGAACAGGCTGAAAAAGAATAAAAACAGTCCTGGATAAAATGGCAGGAATAAGATCAGCAGTTCTTCAAAGTCAATACAATTTAAGAGAAGGTTGGAAAAGAAGATAAGCTCAGACAGGTGATTGCTTAACGTCTTGAGACTCAACGTGTGTGTGTGTGTATACAGAAATGCAAAGTCATTTTTGAGAAACGTTGACTTTTGTAAAAAAAAAAAGGATACAGCAAAGTGCTTTAGCAAGAGATCCAGCCAGCAAAGTTTCTGTCTGTTGCCCCTTTACTTCAGCTACGATCACAAAGGAATAAAAATTAAGTAGCATATAATAGAAATAAGAAACACCAAAGCTATGCAATGAATCAGTTGGCTTCTCTTACTATTGGTCAGCAGGTCCTTTATCTCCTCTGCAATGGTTTCGTTTATGGTGGATAATAATTCATATTTTCCATCTTTACTACCAGAAACATTTGATTCTCCAAAGAGATCGACAACTGCCCAGTGTTTTCCAGGATACAGGAAACGGCTGAGAGAAGAGAAAATAAAATTATGTTAACCATTTAGGGAGTTCAATCACTCAAACTACCACAAAATATCTATCATTTTCCATTTCATAAAAAAAATATAACAAAAGATCCTTTACACCACAATTCATTTTTTTAAATCTCTTGTACAATTCTTTACTAGGCATCAGCAGCTTATCTTCCAATTAAAAGAGCCCCTGGAGCAACAATCAACAGGAGACAGAATACCTTTCTTGTATATGACTGGCTATCACAGCAAGTTTGTTGTTGCGGTTCATAAATAAGTGTGAGTTTCCCAACACCATGGTCGCATCGAGGCATTTTGATAATGTAAGCTGTGAGAAGGAGAAATATTATTTAAAACCTAGAAACTTCCAAATCAGAATCAAACATGCATAAAATTTCAAGCCATATTTATCCAAAAGAAAATCATTTAGAAATAATTAATTTTTTTAAACAAAGGATAGTACCTGAATAACTTATGCCAGGGATGCCTTACCTCTGAGCCCAACAAGGCTTGCTTGCCCCACCAAATAGGGTTAATATCAACGACAATGACTAGGAGATTCACTTCCTCATCTAGACAAGAAAATAAAGCACAGAATTCAGAAGGTGAGACTGTATCTGCCATCCATTCCTTCATTTTATACAGAGTCAGACATCTCAAGCAGCTGCTGCGAATATCCAGAGGTTGAAAGCCACTATTCCCAACTCTGCTGGAGACTGGATGTTGTCCTTGACCAACCAGCAGCAAACTGTTTTAACTAAAGCAAGGGGTCTTCAAACTTGGCCCTTTTATGACTTGTGGACTTCAACTCCCAGAATTCCTCTTCCTGCTTTCCCCATAACCACCACCCTGTGAGGTGGGCTGAGCTGGGCTGAGAGAGGAGGACAGGCTCAAAGTCACCCAAGCTGCCTAAGACATGAAAGCATCCTGTGGCAGGGAGTTCCACCTGGCACGTGGGAATGAAAGGCCTCATTCTTTATTCCTTAAGTGACATTTGCATTGAAAGGAGACCTAGGGTTGGTGATGGCGGGGGGGGGAGGGAAACGGGTGTAGTGGGTGTGAAACCACTCTGCACATGCTCAGAGGCAGCCAACGCTTCAGAATAAAACCCAGTCTCTCCAACCAAGGAATTCAGAGGCCTGAGACTCGCCTCGGAGTCGGGAAAGGCGGAGGAATTCCACCCAACCCCGAATTTAAATCCAGAATTCAGACCCCAAACTCACCCGCGCTCATAGCGGCGCAGTCCGGTCGCCTGAGAGTGACGTCACGAGCGCCCTGGCGCACCCTTCTTGGCGTCCCCCGCTCGTGTTCTTGCGGCTGGCAGCGAGTGCGAACGGGAAAGGCTTCCGGTGGGGTCGCGCGGCGCGGCGCCGAAGGTTCCGGGGAGGCGCCCTGGTCGCCCGAAGCGTTTTCTTTCTCCACCATGAACGAGGCGGGTGAGCGGAGGGGCGAAGGGGGAGCCCCAAAACGGGGACCGTTTTTGAAGTCTGGTTTGGAACTGGATCCTTTCTGGCGCGCCTGGGGGAGTCCCTCGCGCCGGGAACGGGAGAAAAGAGGGAGGGAAGCTGAATGGCTGCAGAGGACAACAGAAACCGAAGCTGGAAGTTAAACAGGTCGAGCCTTGACAGGTGGAAATATCAGGTTTCCTGCCCTGTGAGGTCTCTGCTAGTCTGGTGGGCGTTGTGGGAAGAGTTTCCTTTCCGATCAGAAATCTATTGCCATCACGTTTCTTTAGTATTGTAAAATCCATGTCAATTCCTAATTATTTTAATTATTTATCTTTATAGAGTCTATCTATCTATCTATCTATCTATCTATCTATATGAGAGGGTGTGGAATAAATGCAAAATATTCCATTTGGAAGAGTCTCACAAATGCAGAATATTATAGTCTGTAAAATGCGAAATGAGCACTTTTGTAAGTTTCAGGATTTCTAAATTAATTTATTTTTTGTGTTCCACCTCTGCAGAGCTAGTCGATGCTTTTAACACCCAGATGAGACAGGATCCAGATGTTGCCTCTGCAGTGGCTGCCATCCGGGTCTTATTGGAATTCTTGAAGAGGGACAAAGGCACGTAATATCTTGGCATTGCACAAACTGAGCAGCCGGCAGAAATAAATTAAATCACAGGCTGGTGGAATTAAGCCTGGAATTTACTTACAAATCCCAGGGTGATTTGCAGCAGAGCAGCCCGTTACAAAATAAGTAGTAATAGATAATACAAAGAGTTCACATTCTAAGATACTTTATCATAAGGCTTCCCTGCTTCCTGCCTTAATTTTTAATTTTATACTCTCAAGATGAAGTCTGTAAAAACTGAAGCCCATGCAGCAGCTTTTTTAATCTTTTTATTCCCTCAGGTGAGACCATCCAAGGACTGAGAGCCAATCTAAAACAGGCTATAGAAACACTCTCTAGCGTTGATTCCTCGGTGGCCATTTCCTCTGGAGGAGAGCTTTTCTTAAGATTCATCAGTCTCACTTCTTTAGAAAACCCGGTGAGTTTTAACTCAGCTCTTTAATATAAATATTGGCCACTCAGCTTCCAAATTTTATGTTTTAAAAAATGCTGAACGTGGCTATAAGAACAGTAGAACTTACTCCAACACAGTAGATCTGTCCTGAGTAATTTAGAAACCATTCAAAATGTCAGGGATTGATCTTGGTGAATGTAAATGTTGAAGGGCTCCTGAGCTTGTACAGAAAGCTTTTGTTTTTACGTGTTATGATGCAGAGTAAGTTTCTAGGCATTTGGGATGAGGGATAAGAGGATGTGTGAATTCATACGCTGGGTAAAGATGCTAAAGATGGTACCCAAGATATGTTTTGACTTGTTTCTTTAATCTTCTGTATCATTCTTTCAACTTCGCCGCTTTCCGTTTTTTCCCAGGACTATTCCAAATGCAAAGAAATCATGATCGAAAGAGGGGAGGTTTTTCTTAAGCGAATCTCTCTTTCCAGGAAGAAAATCGCCACGCTTTGTCACACGTTTGTGAAAGATGGTGGCGTAAGTAACACTGTTACGTTTATTATAATCATAGCTTGTTTTCTTCCTTCATGCTCTTCAGTAATACAAAAAAGGAATCCAGTGTGTCTTGGACCATCAATTTTTTTTTAAATCTGTCACGTTATTTCTTTACCAAAGCCGTGGAGGGATGATTTTTTTGAAGGAGAGAAGCTACAAAAATATACTGGAATAAATACCTGTTATTTAGCAAGACAGTGCTGTGGGATGTAATATTTTAACTCTTCTACCTATATTTCTCCGACTTGTCCCATTGAATGAGAGGCTTTGCCCTCATCAGAGAGAGGCTGGGGAACTGATGCCATAAACTGAAAAAACAATATTTGGATTGTCTTTCCAGATAATATTGACACACGCTTACTCAAAAGTGGTACTTCGAGTCTTGGCAGCAGCTATACAGGCCAAGAAACGTTTTAGCGTCTATGTCACGGAATCACAGCCGGATCGAGCAGGGCAAGTAAAGCAAAAACATTTTCCTCTGTTGCTAGAAAATGTAGAAATGTTTTTTCTCTTGGGGATGTTGTTATGAACGGGCTTGTTTTCAATTTAAGGTGCAATGCCCAATAGGGACATTTATGTTGGGGTGATTTTGTGGGTGAACCCTTAGCCTCTGATTTTTGAACAATCTGCCAGGTCGATGGCTTTCCTTTTGTGAAATGAATAAAAGGTGTTTTAAAAATAGGAGCAACAAAGGGTCTTTCCGTTTCAAACGTGCTTAATCAACCGTTCTGTTCAATAAAAAAAAATATGTTTTTTTCCCCTGGAAGGTAGAATACTATAGGATCAAGGTGTACTGTTTCTTATTAAACGGACAGGTTTAATATGCATGCCTTAACATTAACACAGGCAGAAGATGGCAGAAGCCCTCAAGAATCTTGGAATTCCTGCCACCATAATTCTAGATGCTGCTGTTGGGTAAGTCTACTGGGTTAATATTGCTACTTTCAAAGCACTTTTGAATGGTGGAGTTCCAAAGCAAAATGAGATAAAAGCATTTAGAGAGAATATTGATCGGGGAATTTATAACATAAGAGCGATGTAGTACACACACAGGAAAAACGGCCTGGCTCACACAGAGCAATTGTGTCTGTCAAAATGCACTGCAACAAAACCAACGCGTTATTGTAATACTGTACAGAGTACATTTCATGTGCAAGTACAGCCGTAACAGCTTGGCCATTACGGTCGTGACAGTCATAAAGCATCCTTGCCAAAGGAGCTGGACAAAGAACCGTAGGGCCAGCCGTGTTTTTCTGTCTCTCTTCATAGATACATCATGGAAAGGATAGATTTGGTGATTGTGGGGGCTGAAGGAGTGGTCGAAAACGGAGGGATCATCAACAAGGTGAAGAGTGTTTGTAAATTATGCGGTCACTCCCAAATGATTCACGTGGGTCCCTTTCTCTCTCGTTTGGGCTTAGCACAGACTTTCAGCCTCTGAGGATGAAGGCGGTCCCGATGATCGCTTCCTTAAAAGCCCTTGTAATTCATCCTTCCTTCCTTGTCTGAAAAGGGTTTATTTATTTAGTTTGTATCTTGCCTTTTATTATTCTTACAAATAACTCTCCAGCAGATCTTCCTTCTCCACTTTTCCCCACAACAACCTTGTGAGATGGGTTGAGTTGAGAGAGAGAGAGAGAGACTGGCCCAAAGTCACCCAGCTGGCTTTCATGCCTAAGGCGGGACTAGAACTCTCCGTCTCCTGGTGATGAGCCCAAAGTCATCCGGCTGGCTTTCATGCCTAAGGCGGGACTAGAACTCACCGTCTCCTGGTGATGAGCCCAAAGTCATCCGGCTGGCTTTCATGCCTAAGGCGGGACTAGAACTCACCGTCTCCTGGTGATGGGTCCAAGTTCATCCGGCCGGCTTTCAAGCCTAAGGCGGGACTAGAACTCCCATCTTCCACTTCTGAAATTGCTGCTTTTTGTGTATGTCCTAAACACCGCACCTCTTCCCCTGCCCCGTGCCTGATGTCTCCTTCAGATTGGGACCAACCAAATGGCCGTCTGTGCCAAAGCGCAGAACAAACCTTTTTACGTGGTGGCCGAGAGTTTCAAGTTCGTAAGGCTCTTCCCTCTGAACCAGCAGGACGTCCCGGATAAATTTAAGGTAAGGGGGAAAAGCCTGCTTCCTGGATGGAGCAGAACCTGTAGCTGGATGGAAAAGTGGACCTTTTCGCCATCTCAAAATTGGCACAGGTTTCTCCAGTGCCATTGTTAACTTCGGTCGCTAAACGAACGGTTGTAAGGTGAGAACTGCCTGTACTGCAGAGACAGGAGGGTGGGGGTCAGCTCAAGAACCTCACTGAAGCTGCCTCTCTCCATAAGGGTAACCCAGGTTTTTTCTTTCGTTCCTCTCAGTACAAAGCAGACACCTTGAAGACCCAAAAGGCCCTGGTGGTTGAGCATCCTTGGATCGATTACACCTCCCCGTCTCTGATCACGCTGCTGTTTACGGATCTCGGGGTCTTGACCCCTTCGGCTGTGAGCGACGAACTGATTAAACTCTACTTGTAAAGGGCCTCCCTGAACCTGTGGATTACAAGCAGTTAATGCAAAATAAGCAGGGAACTTTTTCCTGGTCATTTTGCCCCCTTTGTTTTGCGGATTTTTATTTTATTTTTTTAAAAAATTCATCTGTACAAAAAAAAAAAAAGCTCACTGTGCCGACCGTAATGTAAATTATTGGAATAAATTCGCTCGAAGAAAAACCAAGGTTTCATCATATATTTTCTGCTCCACCTGCTGACTTGAGATATGCTGCAGTAGCACGTAGCTCAAAATGTATCCTCCAAAAAGTTAAGATGGCAGCAAAGTCAAAGGTTGGATCCATTTAATTTACATGCAAGTTAAAAAAAAAAAATAGCTCCCTCTCTGGGGAACATTCTTGCTTAGGTTTCATCGCTTTTTAGACCTGCAGCTTTTAACGGCAGAGGCTAAATCATGTCCCCAAGTCATTGGCTTCCATTGAAAGCAGACAATAACTGAATTAGACAGGCTGATCCTCCAATTCTTTCTGCAGAGTTGGCTTGCAAGGCCTCCAGTGGGGAGAAGAGGGGGAGCAGCTTGGGGAAACCCAATTTTGCATGGAGAAATCCGGAAAGTGAAGGAATTCAGCACTACTTGCAAAAGGGTCCGTATCAGTGAGACGAGAAACGTTCAGATTTTCACTTCATATTTTTATCCTTCTGAGTCTGAGCCACTTCCTCCTTCCCTACTGCCCAACAACGTCTTCTCAAACTCCTTCTCGCTGATTTTACCCCTTTTCAGCTTTTTCAAAAGCCGGGTGTCGTTCAGAAGCTCCTCCATATCTTCGTTGTCTGGGTCAGAACCCTGGAGAGAGGTTTTTAAAAACAGAAAACAAGGCTTAAAATCAGAAAGGCTTGTCATGAGTTTTGCTTTCCTTAAAAGTGCAGGTAGCTTTTGCTGCTCCTCCTAATAGTTCTTTGGGCCTCCCTTTCTGCCTGTTCTGACAGTCCATCAATACTGGAGTGCAAAAATTATCTTAAGCCATTGTTTCAGGGGGGTTACTGGTTTTGTGTCTGGAGCCATTTCAGCATGGTTTACAAACTGACTGGAGTTAATTGCCAATAGGAGAGAATTTTCGTAGCTCAAGGTTGAACTATGGGGTCCTCTGAGCTGGACTGTTTTCTTAGAGACCTTTCATGACCCAACTAGGCAACATTATCAGTGCTACTAGGGAGTGGGGTTTGTGGCGAGGACTGTTGAGGTCCTTGGTGCTCTCTGAGCTTGGTGGTTTTCTTGCAGACATTTCGTGACCCAGCTAGTTAACATCATCAGTGCTGGAAGGGAGCAGGGTTTGATCTTTGTTTATATACTAGTGGCTCGTCCTGCCAAGGTTGTGGGAATAGTCTTGGTGGTTCCTTGATTAGGCTGTGGTTTACTGTTTGATGGTTTGTCTGAGTTGGTAGTTAATTAATGATATTCTTCAGCCCAAACTCAATGAATTGGCTTAATGTGATGTCCCAGTCCCTCCGGAGTCAATAAAAATGGGGGTTCCTCCTGCTCTAGCGCCCCTAACCTTGTCCTCTAAGACAGAGGTCCCCAACCTTTGGGGCACCAGGGACCGGATGCGGCTTTGCTTGTTTGTGCAGATCGGTTGCTGGCATGCTGTGGCCTGGTACTGGTCCACGGACCGGGTTTGGGTACCCCTGCTCTAAGACATTTTAGCTCACTTGCAGGAAACAAAGAACTTCCTGCCCAAACTCACCTCCTCCCTTTTCCTTTTCGCCACCAATTTCCTTTTCTTCTCCTTCTTCGCTTTCTGCTTGGACCAAGCTTGATTTCGGGGCATCTTCCTCCCCACTCTGCGGACCGGACCCTCTTCCTTCCACTGCTCCAACAGCTTCTGCCTCTGCCTTTCCCTGTTCTTGTCTTTGAACGCGATCGAGTCCGTGTCAATGTCGACGGGGGCAAAGTCCGAGAGGTCCTTGCCTCTCAGCTCCGGCATCTTTGGCATCCTCAAGAGGGCAAAACCTCGGGCTAGGCTGGCAAAGTCCAGATCTGTTAAAAAGGGACACAGACTGGTGGGTCTCGGCACCTGACCCCAAAGCAGAGACCCGGGGCCATTTCAGATGCCCTAATGAAGCAGCTGGTGACGGCTGAAAGCTACAATTTGAGCGCAACATAGAAGAGACCACAGTGGGTGGCTGGGTAGCCAGGCCAAGTGGGCTTTCCCCAGTCATCGGAGAGGAGCAATTAGAAGGGTTTTTTTTTTTTGTTTCTAACTATTCTGGTTTTTGTTTGTGTGTCTCAGTTTGACCTGGTTGAAAACCATGTGGTGGAAATGTGACAGGAGAACAGAAGAGAATTCTTGGCTATAAACTCCAGGAAAATGTTTAGGGATCTTACCTAGTATTGGGTATGGAATCTCTCTCTCTCTCTCTCTCACACACACACACAAACACACAACACATACACACACACACACAGAGATCATCAGACATTGAAAAGGACAAATAGCAAGAAATGTTTTATATAATCAAGAAACCAGGCCAACAAACAAGAGATTTCTTGGCTATAAACTTCAAGAAAATGTTTAGGGATCTTACCTAGTATTGGGTATGGAATATCTCTCTCTCTCTCTCTCTCTCTCTCTCTCTCACACACACACACACACACACACACACACTGTTAGAGATAATCAGACATTGAAAAGGACAAATAGCAAGACATGTTTTTTTAATATATAATCAAGAAACCAGGCCAACAAAACAGGAGTGTCCGAAACCAACATGAAGGGCCAGAGAAAATCATCTAAGAACTGGAATGGCTTACAAATAAATGCTGGAAATGCTAATAGGCAGGTTATCCTATGTGGTGTAAAAAAAACTACTCAAAAATAATAGGAAAAAATGGATAGTGTTTTAAATAAACAAACGTACCTTTTATTCGGAAGATCAGGTTGCACTCGTGTTTGGCATAGGCTTGGACGCAGGACACGAAGGCCTTCATCCCTTTTTCGTACATGGCTCTGTCAGCCAGGTTTAGCGACTTCAGCTTAGGTAGGACATCCGTGACGTTCCTCTGCGGTTTCAGTTCCTCCATGGGGCACTAATTGAAGATTTTGTTTTTAGCTAATTCAAAACTCTCACCAGGAGACGGCAAATTCTAGTCCTGTCTTAGGCATGAAAGCCAACTGGGTGGCTTTGGACCAGTCACCTCACAGTCAAACCCACCTGACAGGGTTGTTGTGAGGAAAAAGAAGTATGTTTGTATGCTATTTATAAAGTAATAAAGGCAGGATAAAAATATAATGAATAAATTCTGTTTTTATTATTATTTCTATGAGACTATGAACAGGGCCCACCTTACCTCTTTAGAAAAAAAAAAGCCATTTCATTAGACATAAACAATAAGAATACTAAAGGACACCCACCACCTATAATTCATTCATTCATTTCCAATATTCAGATTTTCCCTATCCCCAAGCCGATTCGCTATTTCCTAGTTTTGGATCAAAATAGAAAAGAGAGAGAGACACACACACACCCTCACCTTTTGGTTAATGGCTAGGAAAGTGATGTACGCTTCTTCCATAGGAAGCAAGAAGACAAGCGCGCTGCCCAGGTGGCCGATACGGGCGGTGCGGCCACAGCGATGCACGAAGGCGCTGCAGAAAAACGAGAGAAAACCTGCAATTAGGCAAGGAGAAGCTTTTAAGCGGTTCACGCTCTGTTTAAATAAGCAGGGAATCCTCCTAATTGAAATAGGTTACCCCTGAGCAGTAAGGTAATCCTGCTGTTCTTTTGTGGCAGCGCTAGCGTGCTGCCCTGTGCTGCTTTTAAAGAGAGGGGAAAGGGGCTACCTTGCACTGCTCGGTGGGTCATATTGCAAAACCCAGTTCACCTCCGGGATGTCTATGCCACGGGCCATCACGTCGGTACAAACCAGGATGCCGCTGGGACATTTGAGAAGGAAGACAAAATGTTTAAAGGGGAAGGAGACCAAGGTTACAGCCACTAACATTGCTTAATTTTTTTTTTTTGAAGCACAACAGGATTTTGCATTAAACTAGCCGTAATAATTACCATTACATTTCATTTATCCCGTCTTGCTTACATTATAATTAGCTCAAGGTGGCAAACATACTTAATACACCTTCCTCGTCCTTCACCCCCCCCCCCCAATGCACACCGATACATTCGCTCTCTTCTTGCGACTGGCGGCTTTGGCCATTGCAAAAAATGTTTCTCTACCTTGGAAGTTTCCGGAACTCTGTAAAGATCCTATTCCTCTTGTGTTTCATCTTTCCATGGATGCACATAATTTTCACATTCTTAATCAAAGACTCCAAAGCCTTCCCATAATATTCCACACAAGCACAGGTACTAAAATTGGAAACAAAGAGCTAGGTTAAAAAAAATAAAGAAGCATTTTTAATTCTATGTAGCCTATATAAGCCGCAATCTGAGGAACAGGAAAAGTATCCATGCTAAGCCTCCATCATGACATCCCTTTTATCCTACCTGAAAAAGACAAGATGCTTTTCTGGTTTGTGTTGACGAAGGAAGTGAACCAGCTGGTTAAATTTCTCGTCCGCCTTGCAGGTCTAAATGTATAAAGTCAGGTACAATTTAGCCCATAGTATTCATAGAAAGAGAGGCAGAACATAGCCATTTGTTGAATATCTCCTCAAAATCCTTTAAAGGGTAAATCTTCTTTTCCCTTCAGCTCTCAAAACAAACAAACAAACAAGGCATTTGATTCTTCTCCACTGCTCCCAGTAGACTACATGCTTTTCATCTACTTTATAAATTGAGATTCAGGCACTTATTTGTTTCTTGGTTCATTAAATTTATTTGCCCCCTGTCTCGCCATGGGGCTGCTCTTGACAGCGTGCAACAGTAAAAAGGAAGACATGAAAAGAGGATAAACAGAAATAAAACAATAGATCAATAAAATAAACGATGAAATAAAACACAACGAGAATACAGCCCTCAACTTACAACAGTTCGTTCAGTGACCGTTTGAAGTTACAGCAACACTGAAAAAAGTGATTTATGACCATTTTTCACACTTAGGACCGTTGCAGAATCCCCAAGGCCATGTGATCAAAATTCAGACGCTCGGCAACTGACTCATATTTATGACGGTGGCAGTGTCACGCGATCACATTTTACGACTTTCTGAGAAGAAAAGTCAACGAGGAAGCCAGATTCACTTAAACAACCGTGTTATTAACGGCGACA